GGCGGGTGGGGGCTAGGGTTGGGTGTGTGGTTGCGGGGTGGGGGGTTCGGGGGATGGGGGGAGTCTGATTGGGGTGAAACAGGTTGGAGGGGAAGAAGACCATTCCCCTTCCTCCGGCTCTGTTCTGCGTCATCCTGGATGGACCTAGTGCGCATTCCCTTCGCTACAGTCGGGGACAGACTGCGCAGTCTCAGAATACCTGCGCAGACCCTGCTGCATGAAGTCCTAGTCTGACGTCCAGTCTCCCGGCGGGGTGCTTGGGTTTGGAAGCCAATGCAGGGCTTTCGCAAAGCACTGTGGGAGGATGCCTGGTGTCAGACGAAGGGGGGGGCGCTGAAGCGGGGTGGGGATGGGGTGGAGTGGAGGTGGGGTGTGAAGCACAGAAACCAAGGTGTCTCTTCATTACCGCCCACGGTGACCACTCCTGGCCCTCAGCACCACGGATAGCTCCAGCCATTCTGTGGATTCTGGAGTAGCTCCACGCCCCCGCACCTCCAGTACCGCTCTCCGACTCTGTCTCAGACAACACCGCCTCTCCTCCGGAAGTCCCTTTGCACCAGGGCACTAGAAGTTACGCTTCTTTCTGGGGTCGGGAAATTGTATTGGGCATCCATCTGAATGGAGTCAAGGGGAGGCTGAGTCAGAACTGGGAATTCAAGACCAGCCTGAGATGCATAGCAAGACTCTTTTTCCTTTCCCTTCCTTCGTTCCTTCCTTGGTTCACTCGTTCCTTCCTCACTTCCTACCTCCCTTCCTTCGTTTTTAATTAGCTGGAGTGGGGTATGGAGATTTTTCTGTAGCCCTACTCACTTATCTGGAACAAGAACCATGTGTTTCTTCATCCCTGCCCTACTCTTACACAGTTGGGCAAACTGGGTTTTAGGAAAAAGAGTCCATCCTTCAGATCTTACACACAAGAATACAGTCAGCCCTCCCTGCCAACACAGTCTTCATCTTGGAATTCTGCATCCTCCATTCTACCAACTGTGGGTAGAATCCAGGCTTCCTCCCCTGTCATGATTGTCTAAGCAATGCACAAAACAACTATTTGATTTTTATATTAGTTGTTATAAATAATTGGGAGATTATTTAAAATATACAAGAAACTGGCAGGAGGACATTTGCCACCAAGCCTGACAACCCGAGTTGACTGCTTAGAGCCCACATAGTAGAAGGAGAGAACTGACTTTGGAAGTTGTCCTCAGATCTCCAAACTCATGCTGTGGTATGTGTTTTTGTGTGCACATGCGCGTGTGCATGAATGCACACACACAAAGTGCAGTTGAAAATAAAGTGTACAGGAGGGTATTTCTAGGTAACATGCATGTAATAAACCATTTTGAATTAGGGTCTTGAAGATCTACAGATTTTGGTATGGAGGGTAGTCTGAGGCCAGCCCCCTGAAGACACTGGTGGAAATGTACTTTCTCTTTCTAAGGATTCTGGTTCTTTCCCGGATCTCTCCACCTTGAGAGTTTTCCCTAAGGTGCTTCCTATCTGCTCCCCAGACTCCACCTGCCCATCCGATTGCCCACTCACGTGGATAGCTCTCCAAGATTCTGGCCTGTGTGCTTGGTTCTCGCCAGATGTTGATAACCAAGAGTGAATGGAAGTCGAGTGTGGTGGCACATGCCTTTAATTCCAGGACTCTAGAGGCAGAGGCAGGTGGATTTCTATGAGTTCCAGGCCAGTCTGGTCTATGGAGTGAGTTCTAGGACAGCCAGAGATATTTAATAAAGCCCTATTCCTTCCTTCCTTCCTTTTTTTTTTTTTTTTTTTTTTTTTTTTTTTTTTTTTTTTTGAGACAGGGTTTCTCTGTGTAGCTTTGGATCCTGTCCTGGAACTCACTCTGTAGACCAGGCTGGCTTTGAACTCACAGAGATTCACCTGCTTCTGCCTCCTGAGTGCAAGGATTACCACCACCGCTCAACAATAAAGTCCTGTTTCAAACAATAACAAAAAACTGAATTGAGTTCAGGGGCTGATGATAATGAAAGAGAAAAATGACAAAGGAGACTCCGTTAGGGGGAAAGGACCTGGCTTTGTGTTAACAATGGGGAACAGGTATTGGCTTCTCTTCAGCTGGGATTTGGAGTGATTCAGACCAAGGTATTTGCTGACAGCACTATTTTGCCCTTAGGTGGTCAGGGCCACGTAACATCGGAGCCATTGTGGCCATTCCAAGGATTTGCTGCTTCAATCTTCCGGTACTTAAAATATGTACTCCACCAGATTGTACCAGAAGGTAAGTAAAAGCCAGACAACAGAGATGGGGGCCCAATCAGATATGTGGGGAGTACTGAGGGACTATTGCTTGCTTGTCTCTTATCACCTTAGCGTGGAAAGGAGCAAGAAAAGAGTGAGGTAGACTCTAGATGAAGAGGCTGTTAGCACTCAAACACTTTGAAAGGGGACAGCATACAAGTTCTTGGGACTAGTCTCAACCTCTAGCACTATCTGAATTTTTCTAGAGCCAGGATTCCTTAAGGGTTCAGCCAAAAGACCAACAGCACATGTCAGCCTCTGAGTAGGAAGCAGGAAACCATGTAATAGAGGAGGAGATAGGAGGTCCATTAGGGATGGATGGCTGAAACTTCTATGGAGTTTCACATGAGGGTAAGCAGGATAGAAAATATGCCTTGAGTCCACATTACTATACTCAATTCTTTAAAAAGTTCCTAAACCAGCAACACATGTATCATCATCAGGGAATCTTCAGAAATACTAAATACTAGGTCTGGGGAAATGGCTCAGTGGGAAAATTTCTGCCATCCAATTGTGACAACCTGAGTTTGAATCCCTGTCACCCACATAGAAGCCAGGAGCAGTGGCATACGTCTGTTTACCCTGCACTGAGGGTGGAGAACATAGAGACAGGGAGATCCCTGGGACTCATTGGTCTAGCCCAATAAATTCAATGAAAGACTCTATCTCAAAAGTAAGGTGGAAAACCAGTGGGATGGCTCAGTGGGTAACTTGCTACCTAACTGGATAAACTGAGTTCCAATCTCAGAACTCATGTAAAGGCAAAAGGAGAGCACCAACTCCATAATTTTTACTCTGACCTCCAATAGCCATGTGCACCTCCAACACGCATGTGGACTCTCTCTCTCTCTCTCTCTCTCTCTCTCTGTCCGTCTGTCTGTCTCTCTCTCTCTCACACACACACTCACAATGATGATGATGATGATGTTGATAATGATAAATGGAATGAAAAGTCAAGAAAAAAACCACAGTCTGAAAAATGAATGATGTGGGAAGTGATTGAGGAAGATACTCTGCTCTACACATGCCTGCATGTACACACACACAAACAAACACACACGCGCGCACACACACACACACACACACACACACACACACACACACACACACACACGCAGGCATGTGCACATACACACACAAAGTAAAATACTAAATGTAATTCTTGAACTTCACCCCAACCTACTGAATCTGGATGTGAAAAACAGCAATCTTGAACTAACAAGCCTGTCAAGATACTTGGGATGTGCCGGGCAGTGGTAGCACACGCCTTTAATCCCAGCACTCGGGAGGCAGAGGCAAAGGCAGGCAGATCTCTGTGAGTTCAAGGCCAGCCTGGTCTACAGAGCAAGTTCCAGGACAGGCTCCAAAGCAATACAGAGAAACCCTGTCTTGGAAAAAAAATTTTTTTAAAAAGATACTCCGGATGCACACCAAAGTCTACATAACTGCATTGAAGGGTTGTTGTTGTTGTTTGATTTGGTTTGTTTTTTCGGGTATGTGTTTCCATCGTTAGACTCACTTAGTCCTACTGTGTCCACAAGTAAATCAGTAGACTCATTAGCTTTGATGTGCCAGGAATGTGCTCAGCAACCTTTTCACACACCACTTAACTTTCTCTATTAAATGTGGTCTTATTTATACTGGAGAGAGTGGTCACTCTGGCCTCTAGTGTCAATTCACTCCATCCTTTTACCCTACAGACCTGTTCTGGACAGATGAACTAGCCCAAGAAGTACTGACCAAAAAGGTGGAGCACCTCAGCAGACTCCACCTCCACAATCCATGCCGGAAGGAAGGGAAGGCAGTTTCCACCACTGCAACCACTGGGGTGAGGTATGGAAACCTATGGTTGGCCCCTGCTATTTAGGGTACTAGAACTGTGCATAGAAGCTACCAGAAGTACTATACTCCATCTCTAGGATCAGTGGGGAATAGTCTATCACAATAATAACTGTATTTCAAAAAGGGAGGGGGAGGTATTGGCAAGCCTAGACTCCATCTGTCATCCTGTTTCTTTTAGGGGTAAGCAAGAGGAGAAACATGGATTCTTATACCCCAAGGTGAGACCATTTATCTTCCCCCAAACTGTGAAGCCCTGGTTTTGAATTCCTTTGGCTTTCCCACTCAGATCATCTCATCCTTCCTGCCTCTTTCCTGACTTCTTCCTGCCTCCTTCTTGACTTCTTGCCTCTTTCCTGACTCCTGCCTTCTCTCCCCCATTAGAATCCAGCGGTCAAGGTGAGCAAGGACCGATGCTTTGCCACCAAAGTAGTTCCAAAGGCCCCCAAACAAGAAGCAAACCACCCCAGCAAGGTGAGGGGCTCAGTTCTCCAAAGTATACTAGAATCATCAAAGACATGTTTAAACCATGGTGGGGGGAGACAGGTATAAAAGAGGGATGAAACAAACTCTGGTACCCAAAGGACAGCCTGCTTGCTTTTAGACTACTATCTAGATAATCCAGATAAGAAAGTGATGGGGCATGACACAGCTTCTGGGAGCTCTTAAGGAAGACAAAAGCTGAAAGATCATAATCAGGTTTGAGTTTAAAATAGGAATTGAAAACCAAAGGGCTGTCAGTTTAGCTAAGAGGAGCTCTGCATATAGCGGAAGCATGGTGCAGAGGCTTCCAGCATCATCCCTGCCTTGCTTTGCCATGGCCGGTGCAAGGTTCAGAGGCATCTCCTTGTAGTCTAGAATAGAAATCGCCCATCTAGTATCTTTACAGATGGAAATTTGGGGCCCAGGCTGGTAATAAAACTTCATTAACCCGCCGTGCTGTGACTATGCGAGTAGACCCAGGCTCCCAATTCCCAGCTTCCCCTGATTGATTCTTGTCTTCTGTCTAAGGCTTTGTGGTGGGAGTGTTCCAAACATCAGATTTCTCCATGTTAAAATGTCTTGTTTAGGGCTAAAACACACATGATAAGAGAGTAACAGCACACCTTTAGTCCCAGCACTTGGGAGGCAGAGGCAGGCAGATCTCTGTGAGTTCAAGGCCAGCCTGGTCTACAGAGCTAGTTCCAGGACAGCCTCCAAAGCCACAGAGAAACCCTGTCTCGAAAAAAACTGAGGGGGGGGCAGAGAGGAAGAGAGAGAGAGAGAGGGAGAGGGAGGAGAGAGAGAAACAGTCAGAAGACACAAAGGCAGGGAGGGTTACTGCAACCACGAATGTCCAGAGGCAAGAATGCCATGGCCAGTGACAGAGAAACAGAGCATCCAGTGACAGCTAAGGATGGAGAAGTAAGTCCATGTATGGGCTCACCGAGCACACAACACATTTTATTTCAAGGACAGTGGGGAGTTCCTGGAATATTTTGAGGAAGGGAATGTCCTAATGAGACATTTAGTTTTTAAAAGGCCACCCTAGTTGTGAGGCATGGTAGTGCATACTGTAATTCTAGTATTCAGGAGGCTGGGGTGGCAAGATTGTAAGTTTAAGGCTACAGAACAAAAACTCTGGCCTCTTTAGACAAACAAACAAACAAACAAACAAAGTCACTACAATGGTGTTGGGTAATGGGGACCTTAGGAAGAGCAAGAACAGAAATGGAAATGTGAGAGAAGGGCCATTCTGGTCCAGGGAGGTGGAAAGGGCTTGGGGCTGACAGCTGCCCCTCCCGCTTCCCCTTTACACACCCTCCATCTAGTCTGTGAGAAGTGGGTCTCAGCCTTTGATGCTTTCCAGGGAAACAGGCTCCCATTCCTGCAGCATGGTGGCTAGGGCTTCTAAACCTGGGTTGGTTGCTGGGGTAACAACATCCGAGCTAAATGGCAGAGATCCACCTGAGTGGAACTGGTTGCTGTGGTGTTGCCATTCTTCCCCAGCGCCCCCCCCCCATTATAATGGAAAATCACAGAAGTAGGAGGAGCTGTATGTGGGAGCCAGGGGCTTAGGCTATGAACCCTTGGGCTGAGTCA